TATTCCACTCGTGCGTATCAAAATCCCATAGCAACGCTTGATGAGTGGTTGCGCTCTTCCAATTTATTACCCTTAAATTCGAAAAGTCTTATTTGCAGTAAAACTAGTCGATCAGCGGTGCAGTCGATGGTTCCGTGCCTTTCCCCCTCAAGTTGTCCGCTTGAGGGTACCAGTCTAGACCCCCATAGTAACCTTACTCTAATCGTAATTGTGCATGCATCATGGTCAAACCTAGCTGGATTAATATGTTGTCCACATAACAATCCTTTAAGACAAAGCCTTATCCAAAAGTCCACCGGGGTTTCCATAATCCCAACGGACACAACCACATTCTGTGTATTAATTTGGAGAACTAAATGCCAATATGCTAATCATGAATGTATAAATAGTCGAGTCTGGTGGGGAATAAGGGACTAGCCCTTTTGTTTTGCAGAAAATAAGGCATGAGGTCCCCAGATTCGGTATGGTTAGCAACATTCCACCTTTGCTACTAGATGGTGGGAGGACCTTTCCTCAAGTGACAAGAAACACGTAAGAAAGCACCTGGGCAATATACCTTCTCTACTAGACATTGAGCCAAACAATAGGTTGATCGAGGCTGCCACTTTGTTTTGGGATAGCGAAAGGGCTGTGTTCCGTTTTGGTGACATAGAAACGACACCACTTCTAGAAGAAATTGGAGGGCTTGCGGGATTGACTTGGGATAGCCCCGGGTTATTGGTGCCGGAGAACCGTACTGGGAAAGGGTTTTTAAAGATGATGGGGCTGAAGAAAAATGCTGACTTCGGATGCCTGAAGGAATCTTACATACCCTTCGAATATCTGTATGGCCATAGCAAGTCATACCGGACCTTCCATGACGAGCTCTCTCTCACTTCTCTAGGCCACATCCAGGGCAGAGTGTTCGTGTTCATTGTGTGCTTCTTGGGCCTTATAGTATTCCCAATGAAAAGGGAAAGAATCCACACTAGGTTGGCCATGGTCTCCAAGACTTTGATGGAAGGGATCAATGGACAGACATACACCATAGTCCCCATGATCATAGCCGACATCTACAGGGCTCTGGAGCGCTGTCAAAGAGGGGTCAAGCATTTCGAGGGTATTAACCTGTTGCTGCAGTTTTGGTTATTAGAACATCTTCAAAGGGGCCAGTATCGCCAAGAATTTCCGGAAGGGCTTGGAATGACTATATTGCCTTCCATCACCCCAAGCGGATGACCTACATTTTGGACAGGTTTGCTCAGGAAAGTGCCAAAGAGTGGGTGGATTTATTTGACAATCTGATCAAGGAGCAAGTGCAATGGATATTTGAATGGTTCCCAACAGACGAATTCATCATCAGATCCAAGGACGCTCCACACTTGGTGCTGATTGGGTTGAGAGGGATATAACCTTATGTCCCTATCCGAGTTATGAGGCAAGTAGGCATGAAACAGGTTGTACCAAGGGTTGCCAAGATGAGTCATTTCAGAGTAGACTTTCAAGACGACGACGTTCCTTACAAGTGCCAAGCCCAGCACATGTGGCACTGCAAAATCATTGTGGAAAAGAAGACCATTGAGCCTGACAGGTATCATGCAGGGTGCGAACCTCTCTACCCGGCATGGTTAGAAGACAATCTAAAAGGAATGGTAATGCCAGGAGCCGGTCGAGGGAATAGAATCATAGATGAAGAAGCTGAAGCTCAAGTCAAATACAACAGGCTGTGCAAGAGGGTCAATGAGCACCGGGAAATACATGAGAGGAATGTGAGGTTGATCGAAGAATGGAAAGGAATGACAGTCACTTCAAAACAGGAAGTTGGAATATTTGGAGCGAGAAATAGTGGAGCTGGAAGGTAAAGTCATAAAGAGGATTGAGGATTGCCAGAACGCTGAAGGAGCTGAAGGAGGACATCTAGCCAAAGCCTACTTGCTGCTGGGTCTGCGCGAGCTGGGGGACCTGTACGATGGAGTCAGGAAGATCGAATCTGGGGAAGGTCCTTGTGGGACCAAATAGGCTAGATTTACTTGCTTTCCTAAAATGTTATAAGGCCAAGTGCCAGTAGTGACTTATTTTTATTATCTTAGTGTCGTTTTGGGATTTGTCTATTTTTCATATTATGAAATGAGGCATTTGTTGGCATCTAAAGTTCTCCAAATCTATTTGTCGCTAGGCCTACCTCAGGCAGAACGAGGCTCCCAAATTAGGACGCAAATTTACATTCCCGCAATATGTGTTTAAATACTTCAACACTTCAAAATCCTTACTAACTTGTTACGTTTTTGTTTTTCCTTTTATTTTGATTATTCCCACTCCCTTAGGTTGGTTCACTCATACTGGCATCATCAGCGTATCATACCAGATCTAGAGGCCCTCCACCTCCTCCTCCTCCAAGCAATTCAAAAGGCAAAGGAAAAACAAAAATGGACGACTTAAGTGGTATTCGAAAGGAGATTGTTGAGAACGCAGAAACTTCAGATGGTCGGAGTACTCCGGCACCAAATGATCTAGTCTTGAGATTGGAACAAAAGATACTGGAACTACAAGGAGAGCTTGAGCAGGTTCGCAACTTGGCGTACTTATCACTCACCCTGAATGTCCCCGACATCAACCAACAAAACACAAAGAACCCAGCACCTCCCCAAAACACATCAAACCAACACCCACAAAACCCTCCTGCACCACATCAATACCCAACCCCACCCTAAAATCTCAATCCCTTACCAATACCAACTCCGCCGCAACACCACCACCAATCAATACAGTACCCACCAACCGCCACTTACCACACTCCCCAAAACACACCACAACCCATTCTCGATCCTCAAAACTCAACCAATGACCGCACTATACCCAAGTCGCTGGCACTCATCAAAGCAACCCCATATATGTGGAGACCATACCTCACTCTACCTAACCAACTTCCTATGCACCAGAATCTTTCGAGAAGGACCTGCTCATTAAAAGCATGGTTGATGAACTCAAGAAATTGACAAGTCGGGTTCAAGGTGTCGAAGGCGGCAAGGGGATAGAAGGTTTGAATTATGAATACCTATGCATCCAGCCAGATGTGGAACTACCGAAGGGGTACAAACCTCCTAAATTCGAGATGTTTGACGGTACAGGCGATCCTAGGGTTCATCTGAGAACCTATTGCGACAAGCTTGTTGGAGTCAGGAAGGACAAAAAGATTCGGATGAAACTCTTCATGAGGAGTCTTACTGGTGATTCTCTATCCTGGTACATCAGCCAGGATCCCAAGAAATGGTCCAATTAGGTAGGTATGGCATCAGATTTCATGGACCGATTCAGGTTCAACACAGAAAATGCACCCGATGTTTTCTACATCCGGAATCTTAAGAAGAAACCCACTGAGACTTTCCGCGAGTGTGCTACCCGCTGGAGGTCGGAAGCGTCCAAGGTCAGGCCATCTTTGGATGAAGAACAGATGAACAAGTTCTTCGTTAGAGCACAGGACCCGCAGTATTACGAGAGGTTGATGGTTATTAAAAACCATAAATTCTCCGATATGATCAAACTTGGGGAAAGAATTGAGAAAGGCATCAAAAGCGGGATGGTAACGAATTTTGAGGCATTACAGGCCAAAAATAAAGCATTGGAATCGGGCGGCATATCAAAGAAGAAAGACGTTGGGGCAGTAATGGTGGCTCAAGGCCCGAAATCTCCACTTACCTATCGAACACCTCCACCCACATATCAAACACCTCCGCCCACATATCAAACATCTCCATCCACATACCAAGCACCACTGTCACACCTCCTTTTTCGCCACTACGCCCCGTGAAGGGTATAATAAAAGGAGTTTTTCCAATTAAAGGACAATCGAAATGGGATTCGTCTATTAAGAGATCCAGAGTCGCCACTTGAGAGATTTATGGTGTCCCAAGTCACCGGTTTGAATCCCGAATTGAGGAAATGGTTTGACCCTGTATTACAGTCGCGAACCAGAAATCCGAGTAAGGAATTCTGTTAACCCGGGAGAAGGGGTTAGGCACTCCCGAGTTCCGTGGTTCTAGCACGGTCGCTAAACCGCTATATTTGGCTAAAATCTGGTTTTTATACATGTTATCCTTATGGTGCAATTTTAGAATTTTTTACCGCTTTTAATTAAAAATTTTAAGAAAGTGAACGTCGTTAAAAAAATGTGTTTTTGGATCACGTCACATGAAATGCACCCGGATCCTCGACACATTTTTATCCAACGTTTTAGGATTCGGATTTGGGTTGCATGAAATGCACACCCGTATTTAGGAAGGTAAAATTATTAAAAGCGCGCCTACAGCGACTAACGGGTTATTATCTTTGCGGGAGGCCGTGAAATTCGCTAAACGGCATGCCCCGAATTCTAAGTATTTTAATATAAGCATTTAAAGAGGGCCCCGCAATTTATGCATTTTGTTTGGCGAGGCTCATCTTATTTTTATTATTTAAAGGCCGTCCTAGAGCAAACTATAATTGTCTATTGAATTTGTCTCTAAAGAGTCCTAATTGATTAATTTTATAAAATTCGGGCCTCAAGTTCAAGTCCGGATTCAAACAAAAGGGAAGACCTTTTAATTTGAACCCGCTACCTAGCTCGAAAGCCCAAATTTATATTATTTCAAATTATGAATTAGACCCTTAACTCCTTTGGGCTTCGGAATTAACTCCTGAAATGCCTTCAACTTCTGGAATTGGGCTTCTGCATCAGCCCAATAGTGAACATATTCATCTTAGGACTGCCAGGAACCAAATTGCCCACTTGGGCAATTAAACCGGGCGATGGGCCCAATTTCGTAGCCCAAATGTCATGAACCCAAACAAAATCAACATCAGCATATCCAGGTTCTTAATGGTTCCTGATTTACCAACTCGTCCGCATTTAGTGTTAAACCAGGATGAACATTTATTTGCAAGGCAATTTAAACTCAAACAAGGAAATGCACTCGATCGAAATTCTGATAATTATTTAGGTCTAACTCGTGTGCTTGCAACATTATACGCCAGAAAAAAGAAATCTAATACTGAAAATCCTCACTAATTCCTGAATTACATTCCAATAACAGCATGGTGTTAACACTGTATCTAATAAACAGACTCCTAAGCATAGTTTAGATTTCAACATTTGATATTGATTCATTCCATAGAAACCAAACTTTTTAAGAAAGGCAACACTGCATTAAGTTCATAATAGCCAGCATTTGATAAACACATTGAAACCTAATCATTTGATAAACGCATTGAAACCAATATTTTGAACAGTCACCTGAAGCTCAAAACTACAACTATCCTAATAGCTTCGACTGAGGCCGTTTACAATTGGCACATACATCTATACATCAGTCCCCTTTCATTAGTTTATATACAGAGATTCCTATTAAACAGTCCTTTATTCAGTCCAATTAAACAGTCCTTTATACAGTCCAATTAATCAGTGGTAAGGCTAGCAAGCTGATTCCTACAATTACACACATCAATTCCTATTTAATTACAAAAACAGAGATTCATCTAGCTATGAAAAGCAGTAGGAATGCAGTAGGCTAATTGAGCATGAGAAATTGTGCATTGACTTTTATTCACTTGCAAACAGATGCTATACAGCTGTGTAGTAGCAGAATGAGTACCTGGAGATTAAGGCAAAATGAAGAAAAAGGAATCAGCAGTAGTAAGCAGCAAGCAACAGCTAGGCTCAACACAGAAATAAGCTCAAATGAACCCAGTAGATGTCTTAACACCAAATCAAGCAGAAAACCAGTCAAAATAGCTTGAATAAATGGATTCCAAAATACACCCAGCGCACTTTTGAAACTTCAGCAGACCAAAGTTCGATTCGAATAAACCAAATTCAGCTCAAACTTAACCCAGAAACTTTTAAACACCTCAATCACTAAGAAAACGGGTGCTAAACCTTGAAATTGGCCTAGGAAACTCAATGTAACAGTATATTTTTTTTTTGGTTTTCTGTTGCTTCTTTTTTTGGTTTTTCTGAAAATTTAAAATGAAAAAGAGATTCAGAATTCCAGATCTAGTTTTTGGATCTGAAATTCGAATTTTAGCTTCTAAAACTTATGAAAATTTTGGGGGGAATTTTCAGAGATTGAAACTTTGTAGAAACTTTTTCAGGTCTCCAAAACTTGTGAATGAAGGCAGAATGCATGCCTTTTATAGGCAAACTTAAGGGTTCTCTCCGATTTTCAGCTTTACACCCCTAGTCCCTCTTTTATTTTTCAGTTTTACTCACTTAGTCCCTCATTTGTTGACTTGTTACTTAAGTTATTACCCTAGAACTACTGAAATTTAAACTAAGACCCTCTTCTAGAAGAGTCTAGAGTGTTCCAGCTTTATCTACAATATTATTCTTATTTAGGAATGCCTATACTTCCCTTCATTCAATCTAAACTTTACTATCTTATACTAACCAAACCCCCAGTCCCTTTTACCCTAGTTAAAACTTGACTATGGCTAGACTTCAAAGAGTTTGAGCTATATCCAAACAACTGAATTAATAAAATCTAACTAATAGCAACCAAGGAATTACTGATCAAAACAAACACTAATAATAAAAATAAAAGAAAACTAAAATCAGATACTAACTGAACAGGATCGACTAAAGAAAAACAAATTAAAAGGAATTAAAGCCTATGGTAATAGAAGATAAACACTGAATTGACACATATATCAAAACATATTCAAACAAAAAATTAAACTAATATCACCAAAACAGGATCAAAACAAAATGACTAAGTAATGACTAGACCTACTAATTTTGGCTAAAACAAACACTGAGAACAGGAAAGAAATACCTTAGTTAAACAAAATGGGGTTCCGGCCAGTCTTTTGCAAAATCCAGACTGAAACTGTCCTTAATCGTGTGTTTCCATGAGAAACACAAGATTAAGGACTATTACAGTCCAAAATCGAACGAACCCCGGAATTTTGAAAACTTAGGGTTTTTGGGTCAATCTTCGATATGAAATTCGAGAAGCTCTGGTTGGATTTGGGGGATGATACTCGGAGCTTTGGAAAGAGGAGAGGGAGAGGTTTCAGGGGTTTTAATTTGGTGAAGTTTGGAGGTGGCGCCGCTGTGGGCGGCGGAGGAACTCATGGCGGCGCCCTAGGGTTTCACTGATTTGAGGCCTTTGGGTGGGATTCGAAGTGTAACAGGTGGATATTCATGGAGAGGGGGTTGAGAAGAGTGTCTGGTACAATTTTGGTGGTGAGTGGAAGTTCGCCGCTGGCAGAGGCGATTTCCAGCCGGCGGCGGACGACGGAGGGGCGGTGGGGAACTAGGGTTACTCTGAGACGATAGTGAGAGGGTGTGTGTGGGAATCCGACATTGATATATGAATGTTTGCCCAGTTCCTGGCCGTAGGATCAAGAATCCTCGACGGCCAGGATCGATTACCCCTTAAAACGACGTCGTTTTATTACAATGGGGAGTGGACCGGACTGGCCTGATTTGGGCCTGATTGGAACGGGATCTTGAGGGTTTTTGGCTTGGGTTTTGGGAATTTTGGCTTGGGCCAACAAATTTAATAGGTTGAAGCCCAAGTTAGACCTTTCTTTTTTTCTCTTTTATTTCCTTTTCAATTAATTTCTTTCTTTTATCAATTCAATTTCATTTCATTTTTTGATTTTTATTTTTTGTGTTAAAAGCAAAAACATGGATTAAACTAAAATTAAACTAATTAATTTCCTCAAACTAACTAAATCCTAACAAAGAATGTAAAAATGACAAAATACTATATTTTTATGAATTATGCTAACTAAATAGGCACAAAAATGCAGACAAACACAAAAATCATGCAATTAATTCCTAAAAATTCAAATATTAAAAGAAAAATTCTAATTTTAATGAATTCTATAGGAGTAATTTAAGCATGGCAAAAATCACGTGCTCACAGTTGCCCCTCTTTGCTCGAAGACACGAAGGGTTTTCGGGCAAAGATAAATGAGCACCATGAAGGATTTTTGCCTGCTCGGCACTCCATGAGAAGCGTTTTGAAAACCGTCTGACCGAACCCTGCTTCAAAGGTTGCCTACATATCTTTGGCTATAAAGGAATCAGGTCAGTGTAGTTCTTGAAGGTTTGGTAGCTGGGACTACCAGGAGCTGTGATTTTCACTGCTGTTGCTGCTGCTACTGCTTGCTGACCTCCTTATTACACCGTGTTGAAACAAAAAGAAGCTAGCCTAAGCTATGATATATGAATTACAAAAAGTCTTATCTATGTCTTGATCTTGCGGTTCTTGTTGCCTTGAACTTGTATCCTTCCGATGGAATTCTTTTGTTGCTGCCTTGAATTGCGATATGAGATGTTTCGCCATTTCTCCGAGTGACGCTTGACTGCTAAAATTTGTCATATATATGCCTCCATTACCAGGCGGGCTCCTGACTGCTAACACTTGAAATGTATTCCCTTATTCTCCAGGTGAGCTCCTGATTGCCGTCACTTGAAATGTATTCCCTTGTTCTCCAGGTGGGTACCTGACTTCAACAAAATAGACAAACAAAGAAAACTTTCTGCCCCAGTTTGGTAGCTGGGCGCGTCATATTACCAACTATTAAAAATGTGAAAGCTAAAATTTGAATTGTACTTCCCTTGTTCTCCAGGTGGGCGCTTGATTGCTGAACTTGAACTTGAAATGTATTCCCTTGTTCTCCAGGTGGGCGCCTGACTGCTGAACTTGAAATGTATTCCCTTGTTCTCCAGGTGGGCGCCTGATTTCAACAAAATAGACAAACAAAGAAAATTTCTTCCCCAGTACCAAATATTTAAAATTTTGTACTTCCCTTGTTCTCCAGGTGGGCGCCTGATTGCTGGACTTGAAATGTATTCCCTTGTTCTTCAGGTGGGCGCCTGACTGCGACAAAATAAACAAACAAAGAAAATTTTACTTGCCCTTGTTCCAATCAAAGAAAAAATTTAGTTAATGTAAAATGGTGGTTAGCTGCTGGCATTCTTGTTGGCCATGCTCCCGCTTCCGACTTTGCTCTGACTTGCTTCTTTGGACTTGCTTTAACTTGTCAAGATTTCCCAATTGACTTTCAACCCTCTGATCTTGATGACCCACATGTTTTACCTTGTATTACTGTTTGGTGTTTCTGTTCCCTTCTTGTGAACCTTGCTTCTCCTTCACAACCATCTGATTATTCCACTGATTTCATTGGTCCTCCACGTTTTACTCTCTTTTGACATGTCCCCGCCTTGTTGTGCCATCTAACTAGGAAGCTGGTAGTTAGCTTTGACATCCTTCTTTTGTTTTTGAATAGAACTGACACTGAAACATCTTATAGATAGACTTCAAGAGAATGAAATGCAATGACCTCGAAGGTTTTAAGGGTAGAAAAACTCTGAAAACGAATGAGTTGTAATGAAGAGACGAAGGACAGGACATATCTGAGCGGAAACGCTGATTCCATTGATCGTGCCATGCATTTTGGATTCCAGCCTAGTCTGTCCAACCAATCAATTATCAATTACCACATTTGTTGTCTCATACATTCATGCCCNTTCAGGTGGGCGCCTGATTTCTGAACGTTAAATGTATCCCTTGTTCTCCAGGTGGGCGCCTGATTGCAGAAATTTGAAATGTATTCCCTTGTTCTCCAGGTGGGCGCTTGATTGCTGAACTTGAAATGTATTCCCTTATTCTCCAGGTGGGCGCCTGATTGTCGAACTTGAAATGTATTCCCTTGTTCTCCAGGTGGGCGCCTGATTGTTGAACTTGAAATGTATTCCCTTGTTCTCCAGGTGGGCGCCTGATTGCTGAACTTGAAATGTTTTCCCTTATTCTTCAGGTGGGCGCCTGATTGCTGAACTTGAAATGTATTCCCTTGTTCTCCAGGTGGGCGCCTGATTGCTGAACTTAAAATGTATTCCCTTGTTCTCCAGGTGGGCGCCTGATTGCTGACTTTGAAATGTATTCCCTTGTTCTCCAGGTGGGCGCCTGACTGCTGAACTTGAAATGTATTCCCTTGTTCTCCAGGTGGGCGCCTGATTGCAAAAACTTGAAATGTATTCCCTTGTTCTCCAGGTGGGCGCCTGATTGCTGAACTTGAAATGTATTCCTTTGTTCTCCAGGTGGGCGCCTGACTGCTGAATTTGAAATGTATTCCCTTGTTCTCCAGGTCGGCGCCTGATTGCTGAACTTGAACTTGAAATGTATTCCCTTGTTCTCTAGGTGGGCGCCTGATTGCTGACTTTGAAATGTATTCCCTTGTTCTCCAGGTGGGCGCATGGCTGCTGAATTTGAAATGTATACCCTTGTTCTCCAGGTGGGCGCCTGATTTCTACTTGAAATGTATTCCTTGTTCTCCAGGTGGGCGCCTGATTTCAAACAAACAAAGAAAATTTTCTGCCCCCTGTTTCAATCAAAGAAAGACCTTGTTAATATAAAATGGTGGCTAGTTGCTGGCATTCTTGCTAGGCACATCCCTGCCGCTGAGCTTCACTCCGACTTGCTTCCCTGGACTTGCCTTGAATCGCTTCGACTTCCTAACCGACTTTCAACCCCATGACTTTGATGACCCAAGTGTTCTATCATATTGCTGTTTCTTATGTTTCTGACCCCCTCTATCTGAAACTTTGCTTCTCCCACAAGATTATCCAATCAATCCACCGATGAAACTTCCGGTGGTTCTTTATGTCTTACTTTGCCTTTTGACATCTTTGATATATTCTGGCCCTGTTGTGCTTTGCAACTAGGAAACTGGTAGTTAGCCTTGACATTCCTCCCTTTTTGTTTCGAACAGAACTGACACTGAAACATCTTAAAGAATAGACCTCAAAAGAATGAAATGCAATAACCTCGAGGGTTAAGGATAGAGAGAATCCAAAAACGGACGATTTGTATCGAAGAAGGAAAAGAAGAAGACTTATCTGAGTGGAACAGTTGGCACCATTGATCATGCCATGCATTTTGGATTAACCGGCCCAGTCTGTCCAACCAATCAACTTTCAATTGCCACATTTGTTACTCCAGACTTTCATAACCTGATTTTCACCCAGACCCCAACCTTGCTCATCATGCAATGTCTTGAACAGCTTTCAACCATAGCCTTGTCTCATTTGCCTATCTGAAAACTCACTTTCGCCTTAAGGTGCCCGCGAGGGTTTTCACCAATAAGACTCTCTCATTTTTTATTTCTCTCAACTCACTTCGCCTTACGGTGCCCGTGAGGGTTTTCACCAATAAGACTCTCTCATTTTTGACTTCTCTCAACTCCCGTCACCTCACGGTGCCCGTGAGGGTTTTCACCAATAAGACTCTCTCATTTTCATCATTTTCTTCTTGTACCGGAGTATTGCCCCTGACATGAATCACTTTTACTTGCTCGTCTTGGCACTTTTTGAAGGTTGATCAGAAGGTCTTTCTTTGGACCGTAATGCAGGCTTTTGGATGGGGTTAGAAAGAAAGGTATCAAAGGCTCAAAACAATTCAACATGGGTTCAAAATTACAACTTTTGGAATCATATTTCTCACGACAATCACAACTTCTGCCCCAGTTTCTTTCTTGGGGACTTTTGGACTTTTATTTTGGTGTGACTGAACCTCAAAGAGAGGCTGCCTACATACCCTTTCGGGATCAAGTCAAACGTAGTTCGGGTCATAGAAATTACTTTGTTGCTGTGATTTTCTCTTCTTCCATTTTCTCTCTTTTCTTGTTTTTCTTTTCTTTTCTTTTCATTTCTTTTCTTTTTCTTTTCTCTTTTTTTGTTCTTTTCCTTTCTTTTCTTTGATTTTTTTTTTATTTCTTTTCCTTTTTTTTCCTTCATTTTTCTTCATTTTTCTTCTCTCTCTCTTTTCACTGTTTTCCTTCTCCTTTTCCTTCACTTACTTTCCATGCTTGTGCTTACGAACTTTGTCATTGATTCCAAAAGAGGGGTATGAAAGAAGATAACTGAGGCTCAAAGGGGTAGCAAAGGATAAAGTATTTAGGTAGCAGAACAAAATGCCTTCATCATTCCAATCTTCAAAATATGCCAAATACAAACAAGTACAATCAGACAAAGGAATCATACGTAGTATCTCTTGACTGCATCGGAGTTGATAGCCATTTCTACACATTTTCCTTCCACATCTGTCAAATATAATGCGCCATTGGACAATACTCTAGTTACGACAAATGGCCCCTGCCAATTTGGAGCGAACTTGCTTTTGGCCTCAGCCTGATGTGGAAGAATACGCCTCAACACTTGCTGACCCATTTCGAACTTTTGTGGACGCAACTTCTTACTATATGCTCTCGCCATTCTTTGTTGATACAATTGACCATGGCACCCTGCTGGCAATCTTTTCTCCTTGATCAAACTCAATTGCTCCAGGCCGGTTTTGACCCATTCATCATCGTCATGTTCCAATTCATCATCACACTCAATTTCTTGTATTATTACTTCAGAATTAGGCCGGCTTTTAAGACTCGGCCGAAGATTCCTCATGCATGTCATGTCATTGAGACCAGCATAGAAAGAACTGTACAAGAAAGAAAAGAAAAACAAAATGAAACTATCAGGAATGAAGAAGAAGGGAAATTGCATTTCACTGAAATTGAAAGAGAACAAAGTTCAACACATTCAAGCGGACAGAACGTAGAACCTGAATCACAACCCTGGAACAATCTAGACAACTAAAAGAAAATCAAAACCCACTACCAAAACTTCCTCTGAATAGGAAGAGGAGTAGCTTCCCAATTGTCGATCTTCACATTAGGCCTGACAAAATGCACTTCTTCGTCACCAGAACCTTCCCCAGTTTCTACCGTGTTCACTTCATCAAATAGACTTTGGACCCTTTCAAGTCAACTCCTCCTGCTCAGGGTTCTTGGGAGGCTTCTCAGTTTCAGCCGAGAGATCAAAGCGAGGGGAGTAAGAACATGGTCCTGGTGCTTTGAAGGTAAGTTCTGGCGGGTAATGGTGGTTATCATGGGTTTGGAACAGAGGATCTGTGTAATGTGGCAGGTGGAGGGGCTACAAACACAGGGGTAGCTAGTGGAGGGGGGGTACGGGATTTGTTTGGGTGGTGGAGGTGGTGGTGTTTGGGAAGTGGTTCCGTAGTACTGTTGGTAGTTAGGAAAGGCTGGAGATGAGTTTACAGTAGGAGGATCCTGAGGTTGAGCTAACGGTGGGATGTAAGTAGAGTTAGCGGGGAAAACTGGTGGTGGGTGTCCCTTTGACCAGGCCTGGTACATCTCGGCCATTTGCTGCTTCAGTTTATGCATCTCCTCCTTTATTGCATTAACATCCACTACTTCCTCTTCCCTCGACGGGTCGACGATTACTTGCCTCTAACTCCTGGTTGGCCATGTTTAATTTGTTCTTAGACCGGGTGTTGTAGGAATGGGTTGCCAGAATGCCAGTCAACTTAACCACCTGCCTGGACTCATCATCAACAACAACTTTGTTAGCGGTTAGAGCATTAACAGATAGATAACCGCACACTTGGGGAATGAATGCACCTAAGCAGTTAACCATTTCTCGCTTGGTTGCATGCGTCATCCCGGCTTTCATTTTTCTTTATTTGCTAGGCCTTTTCTTTGCTTTAGCCTCTCACTCTTCCCTCTTGTTTTCCATTGTTTGTTTATTGCCTTTCCCTCTTTTCTTTGCTTTTCTCTTATTTTCCTTCTCTTTTCCTTTTTCCTTCTTTTCTCTTGCCTTGGTTTTTCTTGTTCCTATTCTCTCCTTTCCTCAAAATTGTTTTTCGCTCTTTTCTTTCTTTCTCTTTTGCTCTCTTTTTATTTTCTCTCGTTTGCCTTTTTGTTTTTGGTTATGGTCGAATCCTATGGAGATTGCCTACGTATCATGACTCCGCATGAATCAGACCAAGCGTAGTTCTTGCAAATAAATGCAAAAATAAGGAAACAATTTTTAGGAATTTTTCTCAATTTTCATTAATAACAACTGCGATTACAAAGCTACCAGACTATTTGTTTTTCTTTTTTTCAGAAAGGGAAATTACAAAAGCTGACTCAAAACAAAATACAGACTCGATTAACTAGGAATACATCAAAGCTTCAAACCCTGGGGCCCGCGGGGCGTCATTCGACATCGCCGCGGGCCTGCGTGCAAGACCCCTTTGCAACTGCTCTAAATCATTCATGACCTGGCGAACAAATATCATCATTGAAGCAAAGAAAGTGGTACGACCCATCCGTTCAGCGGCCTGACACTTCATAACAATATAGTTTGCAATGCTTCTGATCCTTTCCCTGATTCGGCCCTTTTCTTGGAGTAGTCGACTTATTTGTTGGGCACGAGCCTCTAGCACCTGAGAGTCCTGGAAGTGAAGGTCTTGTAGCAATTTCATTTCCTTTTCCATCTCGGCGATTAACCCATAGCATTGTTCCCTCTCGGCCTGAAATTCTTTATCCCGCCGGGCTGCCTTTTCTTCAAGGGTATTCATTTTCCTCTTCATGTTAGCAATGGTCCCCTCGTGGTTTCTTTTCATTTGTTGTACAAATTGGGCTCTTTCCTCAGTCTTCTTGGCCCACTGTGCTCGAAGTCTTACCATGTTCCCCTCAGATTTTTCCAGTTCTTCCTGGCAATCCAAAACTTGCTTCTTTAGCCTTTTTATCAATCTCTCGTCAGACAGACTTCTTTCTTGATTCCTGGCATCTATTTTCATTTGCTGAATTTGAGCCTTGAGAGCTTCATTCTCCTGGGCTAGTTTATTTTTATCACCTTCATCAGCTGCAGCCTGTACACTCTTTTCGAATTGAAGATCTCGGACCTGTTGCTCCAACTTTCCTATTCTTGCTCGGTATTCCCTCTCCTTGGCTTGTCAATCCCACTGTACCTGGGCTCCGTCGGTGAATTGCTGCATGTGTGGCCTTTTAGCGGGTCTCTCTGGGATTTGAAATCTTTTACCAAACCAAGTCAAGTATTTGGGATCTACCTCGCCTTTTGCCCGATCCTGTACTATAGTCTTAGGCTCGAGGTACCTGCACTCATTCCATATTTGTCGGATTTTTCCTTCATGGAATGCAACTTTCGGGCCTAACTCAATGACTTGCCTGCTCAGGTCTTCATCATTGTGAACGGTTTGAAACCTCCCTAGTTGCCTCAGGACTCGGTAAGGAGCGTAAGGTTGGATACTTCGAATGCCCATCAAAAGAATGTAGGGTACTTCTGTCATTGTGTATACAGCCTCGGTAGCAGGAAGCCACCCAAAAGCCCATTCAACTTTATCCGCCGTCAAAGATCTCAAGCATGATGACCAAGACTCAGTGCCCACGAGGAACTCAATACCTGTTACCCTGGTCCCGAATTCTGCGATACAACTCAGCCCGGTTAAACCGTAGTTTATATACCCCGTGCGATGACAAAGGTGCTCCTGTATCCACAGCTGTAATAGCAGATTGCAACCCTGAAAGAATTTCACACCTTCTCGACACTTGGTTAAAGCTTGGTACATTTCTGCTACAATCAAGGGAACCACTGTGCTAGTAGGCTTCTTTATGGCAACATCCAGCATTCCTACAAGGTCGAGGTCTATGTGACCATCTTTTCTCGGACAGACCACAACTCCCAGAAAGGCTACCATGAAGGCTAATCCCCGTCGGGCTTCCCATTTGTCTTTGTTCCCGGCATGTGTCAAACCGGTGTTGGACTCCTTAAAACCCTTTGGGTTACCATACCGGTGGTATAAGAAATGCAATGTGCAAAACCCCTCTGCTAGATGCGGGTCTTGAATGTCCCGACTGATGCTCAACAAGTCCAAGAATCTATGAAGGGTTACCGGTCTTGGGGCCAATGGGTATCTACTCCGGAGGTTCCCATTTAGGCCTGCGTATCCCGCAATCTCTTCTAGTGTAGGTGTGAGTTCAAAATCTAAAAACCGGAATACATTACGGGTCGGGTCCCAAAATGGTATTAGTGCCTCAATAATATCCTTCCTCGGTTTGATGTTCAATAAATCAACGAGACCGCCCAAAATCTTGACCACAGTGTCTCTGCTTCCTTTTCCCAAATCATGCCACCACATATGGAGTTTCAAGGGGATCTCGCTCAGGACTGAGAAGGTTTCAATGTTACTTGGATTCATCCTGCGCATTTATTTAAAGGGGAATTTAATGATTTATTTTGGAAAAATGGCTATCTTTGAAAAAAATTCTTTATTTAGAAAACAAGGACTTGGTTTTGCAAATACGACCTCTCAGCACTTCTGGGAGGAAGATTTTAAGGTTGTGCCCGCAAATCATTTAAAATGACTCAAGGTGGCTATTCTTGCAAAAACAGCCTTCCGACCCCCTTTTTTGGGGACATTCGGCTTATTTTAAACAAGAATGGTATCACCCGACTTATTTACAACAAAAATTTAAAAATTTGACATTTTTGGGCTATTCTTGCAAAAAGGAGGTTGGACCCGATGAGGGTTGCCTACGTATCTCACATCCAATGAGAATCAAACCAGCGTAGTTCGAGCAGATTTACCTAATATTTTTGACAAATCTTTTCTCTCTCTTTTTCAAATATTTTTGCCCTTTTTATTTTTTCGAAAATCCGGCAGCATTTCAGTACCATTTGGGCATTGGCTTCTCAAAACAAGTGGTTACCCTGCCTTAGTCCTAACACTGTTATTTTCTCAATTTTCTTTCATTATCTACAAGCCGGTCAACATGCAAATCCAAAGCAGATGAATGCACAAGTAGCACGTAAGATGCATCAGGATGGTCTTTTCATTTCAGGTCACCTGTTGTCACACCTCCTTTTTTTACGCATACCTACCCCGAAGGATAATGTATAAGGGAGTTTTTCCATTTAAAGTGACATTATTCGAAATGGAATTATTTATTTATTTAGAGAGTCGCCACTTGGGAAAGGATTGGCTTTTGGTGTCCCAAGTCACTGATTTAATTTAAATCCCAAATCGAGGAAAATTTTGACTTCCCAATTGGAGTCTGCGAACCAGAAATTCTGAATAAGGAATTTTGTTGACCCGAGGGAAGGTGTTAGGCACCCCCGGATCCCGTGGTTCTAGCACGGTCGCTTAAATTATTATAATTGGCTAAAAATCTGATTTTTATACATGTTTTAACTTATGTGCTTTTTAAATTCAAACCGCATTTTATTATTATTTTTAAGGAGATTTGCAACGTCGTGAAAACGCGTCTCGAACCACGTCACATAAATGCACCCGTGGTTTTTGACACATTTCGACTTCGTTGGGATTTGGATTTGGGTCACATAAATGTGACCCCGGATTTAGAAAAGTAATATTATTAAAATACGCGCCTAAAGCAACTACGCGTTTTAGCTTTGCGAGGGCCATGAAATTTTTGCTAAATGGCACGCCTCGGATTCTAAGATTGAGTTAAAGCTAATTAAAACGAGGGCCACATAATTGTCATTTTTGTTCGGCACGGCGCACCTCAATTTCAATTCTATGCAAATTTGTATTCAATTAAAGAATGGCATGAATCCACGTCTACTTTCAATTTCTCTAAAAAATCAGTCCGTGGCTTGCACATACTCTTATTTTAGTCGAATTGAACAAAAGCAAAGTAAAGAAAATTAACAAAGATTACCCAAAACTATAATCATTTTATTTGAGATCTCTGCCAGCAAACAACTCACAATTTTAGAGATTCATTAGTCCAAATTTTAAACAGAAATTAAATGAACACATCAAGATACTAGACCAATGAACAGAAACGTGAAAGCATAACAAACAAAATTTAAACAAGAAACTCACTCACAAATATTGGACGAACTGGGTGAGAGGCAGACGAAATGGACATTCTGTAAATGTATTTGATTTGAACCTCATATAAGAACGGCCAGGAACAGTTACAAATTGTTGAGATGGTATTGAATAGATGAATACATATAAACATTTTCTCTAATTCATTAAATGAACTTATACTCCTAATATTGATATAATTGTTATGATCAATGTAATTTGTTTATTGTTTTTGATTTATCAAAAGGTTACGACTCTAGTTAGAGTTAGCATATGCCTAA